CAGAATTTATCAAAAGCTTTTTTTAATACTCTTACCAATATCAGTGAAAAAAAACATAGCTCCACATTTCGAAACAGGGCTTATATTTGTAAGATTTTAAAATGCACGAAATGAATAACAAATATTGACAGTCTATACACGTTTTCATCGGACTGTATATTTTATAAAAAAACCATAAAACGATTTGATGAAGTACTCCAAATTGTACTTTGAGTCTTTGAAATATATACTCAGTTCAGAATTTACCGAAATGAAACAGAAAATAATTCAGACTCTTTCACAACTGGAGGTTTAAAATACCATACATTTTCCTGTAAAATTTTAGCACACTCATTGAATAAAATTCGTGCATAAATAAAATATTTGTTTTCGAAAATCCTGGAAAACGTTTGTAAAAAATCGGTAATATGTTTAATTGAGATAAATAATGCATAAATGTATTCATGAGACTGGAGTGTCTTTTTGAAAATTTATAGCTGGACAGAAAAATTGAAGACTGGTACGCCTTCATCCGTTGGAGCATTTATGAAGTTTTAACAGATATGTTACAATTTGCAATATTCATATAAAGATTTAAATGTCTTTTCCTACAAATACATATAATAATAAACAGTTTCCAACTGCAATAGAAATTGTCTAATTTATTCAGAATTCACTTGCAGTTGAGAAACTTAAGTTGGAACATTTGTAATTAGACTTGGTGAAACATTATAAGCGAACAATGTGTTTCAAATCAAATGTCCTAAAGAATTAAGATGTCAAAACAGGAGAAGAAAATGTAAATTTCTTCAAATGTGCTAAAATACATTATATTTTGAAAATTTTAAGTTATGATAAAGATACAATAAATATGCATAACTAAATGCATGTTATGCATATATAATCTATACTTTTGCAGAAAAATGCTTTTGATATGCTAAGAACTGCGCAGCTACAGAATTCAACAGAGCCTAAGTAAGAGAAGTAAAAAATAAAAACTGTCATTATGTTCTCTCTACAACTATTTGTTGATTACCATTTTGCACTTTTAATAATTTCAAGTAAAACAAGATTTCAAAATGTAAAGTGCACATGAAAGTAACTTCTCTGATAACCTTTTTATTTTTAGCACATAATTTTGTTGTAGATCTTCTTATATGGAGGGAATAAAATTGAAAAGTAGAAACATGGAATTCACAGTTAACATATATCAAGACACTTTTAAAATAGGAAATGTGTTATAGATTACTTAAAGTAATTTATTTGTTTTTATTATCTCTGCCTTGTCAAATAGTGTACATATTGATATAAAAAAAATCTTGAAGTGTCTTTGATTCCAGGTAATAACTCTCTTCAAAGTCTAAAATTAAGTGCACGACAACTTTTTTATTTTTCATAATCTTAATTATCACCATAAAACAAAATTTCAAAATTAGACACATAAAATCGAAAATTGAATGAAAGTGTTAAAAACACTAAAAAAAGTCATACACATTAACTATCTCTCCATCTACAAACACAACTATTACCAATCAATTACACACATATAACAAGTTCTTTAAAAAGCATATGCTGAATAAAGTTGAAAACCCCTTGACTTTATTCTCTTGCCTTACGTCATTATGTAGTGGCATGTTGTCCGAAATGAAAAAAAACTCTCTTTATTTATGATTTTTTAAAAAATATCTCTTTCTCCTATTTCAAGAATTGTGTACACAGTAGATTAAACCAATGATTCCTATACTTCAATCAATATAGTTTATATAGTTTTATTACAAAGTTCATGGAAAAATAAAATTGATACTTGTTATGTTGCCCGGTGAAAGCAAGTTTGAAAAGGGATGTGTTTTTAATTTAGCAATTTGGTATAAAAAAAAATTGGTCAAAGATCAGTCCAATTTACACTTTAAAAATAAAATTTGAATGATAAATACAACAATTTTAATTATAAATAAATAATATATTTTTTGATTAACACACTGTGTCAAATGATCTTTTTCTCCTCGGAGCTTACCATATGGTTATGTTCAGTGTTTTGCAGAAATTTTTGACTGAATAATATTTCCATATTGTCAAAATTGTGTTTAAATTAATGAAAAGAAAAAAAATCATATTTTTAATATTTTTAACCATAAAATGACGTTTGGTGTCCTTTTAAAAATTATTGGGTCCATATTTAAAAGTGAAAAAAAAATTCCTTAAAATTTAAACATTTGTTAACCAGAAAAAATTGTCATCGTGTAATGTAAAAAAAAAAAATGAGTCTCTAGGCAGTGGTTGGGAGAGAGGGCAAACAGATATTTTTATAAAAATTGGTCTTAACAAATAAGGTAGATACATGTTATAACATAAAAAAATTTCTGAAGCTTTGGTATTTTTGAAAAAAGAAACGTAAAAATTTCGGGGGGAGATACGGTTGCCTCTCATTCATATTTTATTTTTTTGAATGTGTAACACATAAATACAGCAATAGTATCTTTCTACAAAAATTGTAGCTATTTTAAATTTCAGAAACTAATATATCTTTGTCAATACAATGTTTAAAACGTTGTCAAATAAAATATTTGTTTTATGTCCAATACTCAGTATGTTGTTTAACATTATTTTGATCAGAGGTGCCTTTTGTTCCGATTCATAATTTTTTAACATTAAAGAAAAAAAATCTATATGATAAACTTTTCATTGTACTATATTTTAAATATTTACAATTTTGTTTGTTCTTATGAAAGGCATGAATTGTTTATTGAATATTTTTTTTAAATGTCTGATTGCCCTTGTTGACCCATGGAATAACTTCTCTCCAATGAGACCCGGCACATGAAGTAGTGACATTTTGTGCTTTTTGCCTTGTTTTTTGAAACTTTTTCAAGATTGTATAATAAATTATAATATAAACAAAGTAAATCCAATATGGTGTATTTTGTTCATATATTTTTTTCTTTCAGAACAAGAAATGAATTGGAATTATGGTTTACAATGAAAAGATTTTTTTAAGGCTCAGAATATATCAGTAGTATATTTAGCTAACCATCTACTAATTTACTTGTCTGCATTTCTGAAGGCATTATATTAACTTGAAATAAAATATTAAAAGTATTAAAGACAAGTGTTCGATTGTCTTGTCATTTTTTGTTCCTTTTTAAAGCCTTTAATTCGAAATTAGGTGTCCATGTTACTTACATAATTTCTCCTTTTTTGAAACTATAAATAAAAATTGTAACTTTTTAATAAATGTTTTCACAAACAAGCGAAACAAAAATTTATCATACCTTGACTTACATTAATTTCATATTTTAACAACTTGTTAATTTCTAGTAATATGTTACTTGTTTTGTGTTTACGTAAATAACGGTACATTGGTAATCTGTATATTTTCTGATTATAATGGTCCTTTAGAAATAAGTCATGCAATAAAACATGCAAACTAGTTGTCTATGTACTTCAAAAAGGATTCACCAGAAAAGTAGAGCTTTTTTTAAAAAACAGTCACTGTGGACACCAAAAATATATTTAAAATTTCAGACATGATATAAAATTGGACAGATTCTTTTTAAGTGTAAAAATTATCATTTTTCTTCAACAGGAAGGAAATTTAATTACATAAATTACGAAAATGATTATTTTGTACAATTATTGATTTGTTCACACATACAAAATTCAGTTTAAGAATGAGTTATTTATATAAATAAACAAAAAAACATGTCTTTTTTTACTTTTGTTTGAAGATAAACGTGATTCCAACCGCAGTGAAACTGCATTTATAAAATTATATAATTCACCAAAAAACTAACATGTAGGTTGTTAAAATTTTAACTTGGCAAATTATGAGCGATGAATCTTTTTTAAACATGTCTGAAACAATGAACCTAGGTTTAAAAGCGACTTCCAAAATGCACTTAATATTGCAATTCTTCTCAACAGAAGGAAATTTAAAGATACCAAAATATTTCTGGTCATTCACGTGTTTTGATTGTTAAAATCCAGTAAAAAAAATTGATAAAAATAACAGAAACCAAATTATCTTTTTAATATAAAGATTTAAGATACCTTGAAATAAAATATTCATGTTTTAATAATATCTAGATGTCAAAGTATTCTACAAGTGTGTGCATTTTATTCAAAATTTATATTAATTAGAAGAAAAAGAAATAATATGATAGGTTTATCAAAATTTTAACTCGGCAAATTATGACCATTTAAAATGTCTTGAATACGATTTTTAACTTTCAAAGTATTACATTATTTAGATAGATTTTAAAAAATTAATTAAACAAAAGGAATTCAAAGAAGATCCGTCGTCATTTATAACAATTCAATCCCCTGGTTGTCTTCATGACTTAACGACATGGCCATGAGTAAATATTTTTATGTATTTTTTAGAGTTCAAACAATAATGAATTCATTCGTATATTAGTATACCAAAGTATGTGTCTGCCCTAATGACTCAAAAAATTTAAGTCAAAATTCTTTGAAAGATGAAATAATTTGCAATTGGATTGTGGCGCTTATTTTCTTTTACCCCACCCTTTTTGATGGCAGGTATATCAGTGTCTGTTTGATGCTTTATCTAATTTAGGGGGATAGATTGCATAATATGATACCAGAGATTTTTATGTTCTTTCCAAGTTTTTTCTAGTCTTGTCTGACCCCTTTAATATGTTTATTTTTTGTTTTGTGTCATTTATTTCAATAAATGACATTTTTTCACTTTCATTACTGTTGTTATTTTCTTTTAATCCATCAAAAAACTAGCTCAGTTGACTTCGCTTCGGTCTTGCATTAATAACAAAGGAACATAAAATATATTTTATATTGTGATATATTTGAAGACTTCTATTGGTGTTTTAAATAACAACACTACAGGAACAAATGAGGTTTTATAAAACTGCAAAAACAATCTGATTCCTAATTGATAGTATAAAATAAGTGATACAGATTTTTAAAATGAGCCTGTATACCTAAAAAAAAATAATAAAATATTAATGAGGATACGAAAAAACATTATCATAAAGAAACTAGTGTATATAATTATATATTACAGTTATATTAACATTATTGTTAAAATTGATTCTCGATTCGATTTTCAAGTTTTATGACCCTAAAATGTCCTCATTCTTGATATACATGATCTTCAATGGAACTATAATATTGCGAATTTTCATCGTTGCAATTTTCTTTTTACTCTTGGTACAAGCCATTTTTAATCTTGAGTTTTCTGTGTGAGAATGTACAAAAATATTAAAAACAAAAGCTTCTGTAAGTATATATTGTCTATTAGTTGAAACATTTGTGTGAAATTAACAAATTGTTCAATGATAAACAAAGAAACTTTACCTGTTCATTACGTATGAAAAGAGGAACAGAATAATTATTACAACTGCTCCCAAAACTAATCCTACTCCACTTAATATTGATATTATTTGGGATTCACTGTTTCTGTGTGGTTCTTCTGTTGAAGCTATAAAATGAAAAAAGTCAATATTTTGAGTTCTAGCGATAAATATACTAGTTATATTAACATCTGTCGGTACTATGTTTTAAAATTTATTTATTCTTCATTAATGAACACATTGACCTTACAAATAAAAAAAAATCGAACATATAACATAAAATGTTTTCATTTTTCTATTCCAGGGGAAAAGATCACAGCGAATTGAAAAGGGTGAAAATAACAACAAGTGAAATTTCCGGAAGTAAGATCAGTCACACGCTCTGTGAATTGATCAGGTGGACGAAACATTCCGTTGTCAAAAGTATTATAAGGCTAAACAATTGGTGTATGAAAAAGGTCATCCAAAAAATAACCCTATGATAGGTTCTTTACTGACAAGATCATTAATACGACCATGGAATTTACCAAATGCTGAATTTAAACAAGTTGTTGAAATTCAGGTTACATCAGTTTGAACAGTCCATTCAAACAATAAAAATCAGAAGCAGCGCAAACATACGACTCGTGATCTCTAAAGCATCAAAGGTGGGACCAGACGTCATGGAGGGATAAGCACTTCTTACCGAAAGGTCCATATCATGATTGGAAAACAGGGTAGGGGGGTTGTAGACAATGCGAAGTCTCATCCTATTGACTAATATCTTTTAAAACAGCTATTCTAATATAGCAAGATTTTCATTATCCTATAAAGGCAGATATTAAAGGTCTAAAATTTCAATTATTTTAGTCGACATGATATATAAAAGTATTCATATAAAAGTATACATATTAAGTTAAGATGTTGATAGACATCAAAATACAATGTACTTCTAAATAATTGAAAGTGTTGAGTTTAATATATTAATTAAAATTAAGCACAAAACTCTAACTCATTGTTTTGTTGAAGCAATCACCAGTTGTTTTGTTACATTTGGTACAAGAACACACTTCTGCGCATTGAACACCATAAAACCCTTCTGGACATTTTTGCATGCATTCTATTCCAAAGGATCCTATGCAAGCTACAAAAATAAATCTATATTAGGAAATTCATTTTTATTTGAACAAAATAAGTCAGTTATAGAAACAGTAATTCATACTTACGGAAACATCTCAATCCAATAGTTCTATAATGAGCACAGCATCTTTTTCTCACTCTAAAATGGGTTAAAATGAATTCTAATCTTCCATCTCAAATGAAAGCATTTACAAATAATTCCCAGCAATTGGCAAAAAAAACTTACATATCAAAGCCAGCATTATCTATACATTCAGGGTTTTTTGGAGAGAATTGCAGAAAAGCTAGCTTCAGCATCAGCATGATGAATAAAATAGTACATGCTAGAAATCTCATTTTTTCAAATAAAAGTTCTTTTCACATAAAATAGATTTATCAAAGCTATTTTGCGGAATATTTCCTTTTTGAGTCGATTACAGTTTCATGGCCTTTGAATATATCATTTCAATTCAAAATGATTGCGAAATTAGAGCCAGGGTTAATTGTTAAATTTTGTACCAGGATAAAACTAATATTTTAATTAATTTCAATTTAAATGAAAACAAAATAAAATACCCATCAAGATTTATAAATTTATAACTTTGACCTTTTGACACCAAAATCAATAAAGATCTGCCTTAGGCCACTGGGAGTTGATATATAAAATTTCATTGCAAAAGCTTAAAAGTTTCTAGAAATATCTTGGGGAAACGAAAGTATTTCAGAAAGACAGACGGACGGACGGACAGACCGAGATTACTATAAATATCTCCAACTTTCAGTGAAAGCAGGAACATAGATATTTTTAGTTATATGTATATGTTGTCTAGTTTCCTAAATTTACAAAGCGAAGGGAAGTTCTATAGAAAAATTTGAAAAATTACACTGCTTAAGATTAATATATATCTTTTAATTCAAAATATTTCATAAAATTTACGTTACTTTCTTTTTTAACTGGGGAGAATGATGAGCATGTATATAATCGTTATAACTTTAAAATAATGACCGATTGTAACTGAATTTAATATTTAACTTTCAGTCCAATTCGATATTTTTAAGTTAACGTATACCATGTATATACTGTTGTTGTTTTTTTTAAATCTTTAATAAAGTCTGTATTCTAGAAAAGGATTTCAAAATAGATCCATTATTTTTTAATTTCATTAAATCTTCCTGTTATTCTCTGGATATGAAATGTTATAAACTATGGTCAGTAATTAGTTTTACTCCAGTTAAGAACTCTAATTAAAATATTTTTGTCCGGAAAAGAATGGCGGACAGACTAAAACGCTAAATTAGAGTACAAAAGAATTATTTCCCTATTTATTTCCGTTTATTCTCATGCTTTTTGTTTTGTCAACATTTATTTTTAAGTCTTTGTATTCAGCAACATTATCACCCTCAAAAACAATCGCTGGTATAGTGACTATGTCATCATTAGAATCATAATATTAATAGTTATATCCAGCTCAGAAACTTATAATAGAAAAACACGTCTATAGTTAAACAAGTAAGTTAAACAAGGGTAAATTGCTGTAATGATGCAACGACAATTAATATTTTAAAAACCAAAACCCCAGACATTGCCAGAATTGAACTGGATATACATGTATTCATATTTCTGTTGTAGTCAAACCTTTTAGTTCGTTGTTGGCTCTTCTATATACAGTAAAATCACAAATTTTCGTGGGCACAAAATTTCGTTGATTTGTCTTTAAATATAGTTTTTTGGCATCCCATTTCGTTGTTTTGAAATGACCCTATTCATTACATATTAACCCTATTCATTACATAGTCATATAAAAAATTATATCCAGCTGGGATTATAATTTCGTTATATAATTAAGTTGAAACGAAATAAACGACAATTAATAATCCCCAGACATTGCCAGAATATTTACATGCTTTTCTGTTGTATATTCAGTAAACCTTTTAGTCAATATAATTTTTATGATTTGCTTATATTTAAGTAAAGTAGATCAACTTTATGTATGCTTGAATATTTATTAAATGTTGTGTTGTAAACACCCTTGCCCAAGTATTTTAAGAGGTTATAAGTATTGTTACTTTGTTTTCTGTCATGCAGAATGTTAGGAAACAAATTGTTTTCCAAATCTTCATAATTATTTAATGCTTTTCATATGGCATTTCCAAAAAAAAATCTGATAACACTTTTCAGTGCTCTTTGGCGTTTTGTCCTTTGATCATATTATGGTTAGTTCCCCATTTTATGTCGAGTGTAATGTAATATGATTTAGAGGCATCACTGGAAAAGAGATGTACATAAATGCGGAAATCGTTAAATGTTACAAACGTTATCAATTGGCATTTGAATTGTTTTTGTTTAATTTGTGTCATACTACTAGAAATAAATTTTTTGTCAATTATGAAATAATAAGGCAATGAATTCCCATTTCATTTGAATGGATTCTAGTTGAATTATAATGTTTGTATTTGTGGCTGATGCTTTTTATTTTAGCATGGTTAGCAATGAGAAAATTCCAAAAGTGACTAATGCTCCTGCTATCAGAGTTCCTTTATGATGATTGTTGGTACATGTAGTGCTTTCATTTTATATACAAATATAGAAAAGATCGAAGAAAATTAAAATTTCAATGATTTAGTCTATTTGATTTTGTAGCAAATGAGTAGGAGAAATTACCTAAACATCCCCTAATAATACCCTAAAATCTAATTCAGTTATTTCTGAAAATATCCATCTAATATCATTTTTTGATTCTGAATTATGATTCCTGTATATTTTCATAAACAATTTATTACTGGAAAAACTAGATTTCCATTTCGAGTTTTAAAAAATAAGGAAAAGAAAAGAAACATGCAATCGCGTACAACACATAAAAGTGTAAAAAAAAACATTTTCCCTCAGCACATGTTTTTAAAGTATTTCAAATTTACAATGGCTTTTAATATCTATTGGAAATGCAATGGATATTAATTGCACCCTGATATTAGCAAACCTTTTTTATATTTATATGAAAAGGAATTTCAAAATTCTATATGTAAAAGAAAACACTTGCTGTTACCTCCAACTCAATATCTAGGTATATCGACAACATATTCTTATGTCGACAAGATATATCCCAGTGATCGTGAAATAAAACTCTAACATATCTGTTTCGTGGATGTTTTACTAGAAGAAGACGAACGTGGTAATCTAACAATAAGCTTTATGATACTGGGGTTTCATCAAATTTTGTTGGCATCAATTTTCGTGGATTTTGTAAAACAGACGTTTTCGAGGATGTGTAATTTCGAGGACAAAAGCATTGCCTATACAAATGTAAACATATTTCTTAATTCAATAAACATTCAATTTGTTGCCCAACAACGAAACCCTTTAAAATTGGTGCTAAACGAATATTGATGAAACCACAGTAAAGGCACGACTTTAACTTTTCAATCTTCAACTTCCCTTTTTTATGCAGGAACCTTCGTACAGGGTTTATATATCTCTCAGTTGATTTGATATACAAAAGCATGCTGAAAGTCTTGAAGAACAAGTTGATGAACAAGAATATCAGCACTCTCGTTCAAAGTCATCATTTCGTACGTTCTATGGTCGATACAATGCACATGTCCAGTAAATACAATCATAATTCATTAAGGTAGTCCAATCCCCAGGTCCTGAAAATCAGGATTTGGGTAATTGAACAATGTCTCAATGTCTGAATTCTAAATAAAAAATCATAGGAATTCATCAATGTAGGTCTTTCAACTAATTTCAAAGATTGCATACATGATTTTAAAAAAATGAAAGATAGATTTATAGGTAAGTGTATTTCTCAAAATAGAGTATATGTATATACCGTTAATTACAATGTAAATCATGTTAAAAAATGAATTATAAGTAATGGATTTGTACGATGTTGTGTTTTAAGGACAGGAAACGCGTGAAAAACGTGTGAAAAGTGTGAAAAACGACCAACAAAATGCCGATTTGTAATTTTTTTTTAACTTATATCATTATTTACACATTTAAATTGTCGACAAGTTCTTTCGTTGTTTACCGATCATGACAAAAAGCACACGGTGGAAATGACTGGTCGACAAGGTATGCTCACTCCTCTATGGCAATTGATCCGACCTCTGATATTTTAGATGTCCATGTTTGCTATGCTCCTCAATTGTATCGTTTAATGGATACCTGAGTTTAAACAATGATCGTTATCTCGATATATTTCACCGTAATATTTCTTCATGAAACAACTTGCGGAATGACACTCTTTTCCAGGATATGTATAAGACGGAAACTATCTGTCATAAACAGATTTAACATTATGAGAAAATCTTTATCATATTCAATCTTGTTTGTATAAACCATCTTTACTCCTAAATAAATCAAAATGTGATGGACATTCTTCTTTTTGCTCTATTACCAATCCTGTTTGTTTTAATAGATGTATCTGCTTCAGAATTAGAATCACCTATTTCTACGAATTCAATTTTCTTGACAAATTCCTTTATCAATCCATGCATTTTATCGTTCTGATCATATATAGACAGAAATGATTCTCATTCTGCAATCTTCTGGTTGAGACATTCCCATTCCACTCAACTCATTTTGAAGCAACATACTCAAATTAAGCAAACAATCTTAAATCCATAAAATGATTAAGAGTGTAAAATGAAAGTCAAATCAAAATGCTTGCTCCGGATCAATTATCAAGAGTACCAGCTGCAGAAAACATAGAGATGCTTTAATCCGACCCATGCTCTTTTTTAATTATTTATTTTTCAAGATTCTTCACCATTAATACAATCCTGGTGAGTCTCTAGAAGAGAAAGATAGTTACATCCAGGGGTCGTGTTCTGCGATTTAGTTTTTCTTTTGGACAGTAAAACTAATATTTCATTCCTCTTTTTGTTCTCCTGAAAAGCTTGTTGGATGGACGTAAAAACGCCTTCACGTGGCGGAGCCGTCGTATTCACTGCAATATACTGCCCGGATATTTGGTCAGCATTGTTAGTATGTGCAAACTCATTATCCGGGACATCCCTGATCATACTCATAGGATAGCATTCATTGTATGTTTGATTTTCCTCTCCCACATTGCTGTAGGATTCAGAATTCATGGTAATGGTATTTTCCCTCTGATTATTATCATGGATACGGTGGCGACCGTGTAAGATTTTGCTAATAGAAAACAAAGAGAATCAATTAAAAAGATGTGATTATGTCCTCATGCTTTCGATTATCCTTAGAAATGCATGTTCAAATCAGTTTGTTACTACCTTCTTATTCCAATTGCCAGTAGCAGTAAAATCAGACAGAGTATAATACCACACATTATTATCACAACATTGCTCGTGGTCCCTACAAGATATGATAATTATTACCTTTGTAATTGAGGCCCTGGATGTTAAAAATTGGGAACAAAACCAAACAATTCAAAATAAACCTCAAGCTTAAAATTATTTTAAAAAATTACTTCTTTAAAATATTTTAGTTATTTTTTTTTTCATTATTCCGTTACCTGTTGTAGTGTTACTTATTTCTAAAGTTTTATTTTCACAACCAAGTCGACGGTCGCATATTTCATCTTTACTGCAGTTGCAAATTCCTCTGCAGCCAAAGCCATAGAACCCTTCTGCACAAACACCACCAGTACAGTTAACACCAAAAGATCCTATGCAAGCTGTTGTGAGGGGAAAACTGAAGTATTTTTCCATTTTTCGAAAAATTGTTACATTTTTATAGTAATTAACTTTATCAAAATTTATTTCAACAGATGTACAGTTTAACAAAATATTTCATTTATTGTTCTTTTCCAATTCCATAAACAAAAATGTTTGAAAAATCCAATTTTCAAAAAATTTAAAAATTTTAACGACATAGAGAAAATGGCAATATGATATTTATTTTGAACGGCCTTAGGTTCTCTCTTCAGTAATTATCGTTTGTAAATGTGCACTTACGTAGACATATTTCTCCATCTTGTCTGTAATCGGTGCAACATCGAACGACATCACTACGAAAGAAATTCCTTTTTTAGTTTTTACCCTTATCATAAGCGTAATAAAATTTTACACAAACGACTCTAAGTCAAACTTCAATTACTTACCCAGATGAATGACATACTCCGGAGACCCTGAGACGTTTTATACAATGAAGAACATCAAAATCAATGAAGGTAATAGTGAGCAATAAAATGTTCATGATCCTTAAGGTCACCAAGAAAACTATATCCACATTCCATAAGATATCATTGTTTATTGATAGTAATGTGTACTCATTATTTAATAAATAAAAAATGATTACTACTTTACGTAACTAGCTGTTAGATTCAATCTTTTTTCCTATTGACCTTTAATACATTTGAAACAATTGAAAATTGTTTTATTTATATACTAGAATCTCATTTTGAACTCTAATCTTTTCCGTAATATATATGTGCATCAACTTTGATCACTCTATTTACCATATCAAATTTTCTTCACATCCTGATATAACATATTATTCATTTCTAAAAGAAATAAGCAACGCTTCATACTTCAAACTATTTTCCATTTGAATTTAATGCTATAGTTGTTGCTGAAAATAAATGTTTGGAATTTGGTTTGAAAAAAAAAAGTCGTGAAATTTAGAGCAGAGGGATATTGCCCCTTAAAAATGCCTTTCGCTAACTTTTTAATTATATTAGCACTATGCAATATGATTTTATTGAAGTTTTCCTTGTGTGTCTGACAAGAACTTCATTCGCATTATTATTCCAATTTAAGAAGTAATGTTAAAGTTACATATCTGACATACCTAGTAGTGAGTGGAATAAAGAGGGGAGCATTCAAATTTTTTTCCCAATTTTTTTTAATTTGTTCCTCTTTTTAGATAAAATCTTAAATTCACAATGAAAGACTTGTTTATATTTCAGTTTAAATCATCAGTTGATCCCAGATAGCATGACTATGTTGGGCCAACATTTGTAAAAGGTTGTATGGTTGGCGTTGGGGGAACAACGTAGGGCCAACTTTGGACCAATGTTACCAAATCAACCTTCTTGACCATGACAGAATTCCTATATTGGCCCAACGTTGGTCCAACGTAAGCAACTTCCACTCACTTTAGTTCCCAAGGAAGGAAGGATCCTGTTGGTCCACGTTGGACCAATGTTTATAATACACCAAGAAGCTTACGAGCTGGTAGTAGTATGTTGGCCCAACGTTGGCCCGATGTTTGTAATACACCCTTAAAGAATGTGTCTTATCAAGTTAGTAGTAATATGTTGGCCCACGTTGGCCCATTGTTTCTAATACACCCTTAAAAAGTGCCTTATCAAGTTCAAGTGTATGTTGGCCTATCAAGTTAAAGAAAATGTCTTATCAAGTTGATAGTATTATGTTGGCTCAACGTTGGCACAATGTTTGTAATACACACAAGTGTTATTTTGTTTAGGTGTTTAAAAAATGGGATATTTATATAGGGCCACGTAGGCCCAATTATTATACTGCCAATTAATTGATGGTGTCAATTTTATAATTAGCTGCTGAGCTTTACGTTGGGACAACGTTGGCACATTCTGAAATAATTAAGAGGACTTTCTATGTCCATGCTTATCATTGGATGACTGTTCTTGTTTAGATATGATATTTTCAACATTTTAACTTTGCACTTAAGTGATCACAGCACCAAAGAGTGTTTTATTCTATTTTTTTGAATTGTGTTTATGCTTATATTTATTTGTAATAAATTAAACCAGATAGCAGAACATCGTTGGTCCAATCTTACATTATGGTTGTATTATCTATGTTGGGTTACCTTTATTGGGCCAACAATGGCCCAACATGGAATATCGATAGCTGGTTATGTATAATGGTGCGCTAATGTTGGGCTAACTGTTCGCATTATATCATAAAATTATTATCATTAGAGAAAATATTTGTTTGGGGATTGGCATCGGCCCAACGTTGGCCCAATATACCATCATGAATCTGACTGAGCATCATGGGTAGACAACAACCGTAAATATCCGCGCCATTTTTAATCTGACACGAGCGAGCGTAATGAGACTGATACCTTGAATATCTGCATCCACTTTGTAAGTATTTATAATATGTTTGCCTCGGCACAGCTGAATTAACGTTTAGTTTTTAAACGATATCATGTACAAATCTGCGCAAAGCAGACACAGGGAAGTGCAGAGGCCAGGTGCTGTTGGGTCAACACTGTACCCCTGCTGGCTTGCTAACATTGGGCCAACGTTGGGCCAATGCAATCGGTTACAACGGGCCAATGTTGGCAAATGACATTGACCCAATTTAAGTTTGCTCATCGGCCCAATGTTGGCCCGATATGTTGGGCCAACGTTGGCCCAGTGTAGAGTGTTATTTCTACAGATATTGACCCAACGTTGCGCCAACATTTGCCCAATGAATGTGACATTCTTTGACCAACGTCAATAGGAACATTGGGCCGATGTTGGCAAATGACGTTGGTCCAGTGTCATTTTGCTCCTTGGCCCAATGTTGGCCCGATATTTTGGACCAACATTGGGCCAATGTGTATAAACATTTAATTGTTACAAATCTGTATATTAACAAATCTGATCGTCTCTACAATCAAAAATAAATCTACAAACAATCCTACTTGAAAGTACAAGCTAGCTAAAATGAATTTACAAGGCTTGTTAAAATTCTTATAATTTATCAAAACAAAATAAATTTTCAGTGATTAAATGTTTTGTTTTTATACAAGAAAAATAAAGTATAAAATAACAAATGTGTTTTGATACAGTTAAAACAATAATAAATTTGCCCCTTATTTAGATTGAAATGTGTGACTAGTAAAATACATTTCCGAAGTCTACCACTTAATTTACTTATATACACTTAACGTCGAGCACATGATCAAACATTTTGAAAATGTTGAACTTGTTGAAGTTAAAACTAAATTTATTCAGTACTAAACATAAATTGGGTTCTTTCAATCAAAATTTGTTCAGTGTAACGACTTTTCTATACATGTATTTTATATGGGGCACCATTGAATCAAAATCGGTGTGATGATGATGATGATGATGATCAAGCGTAAAAATTTTATGCATAAATGCCTTCATCACGCAAGCTTATCGCTGAATCACACCATGAAACAAAAAAAAAGACGGTTGTTCCTTCATTGACAGCTTAAACATATAGTATATACTCTTTACTAATTACTGAGAAAAGTAACAAATGTTTTAAGTACCAAATACTACAATTTTAGTGCTACTGGAGATTCTAAAAAGACATTCAGAACACAATCAAAGAATAGCTAAGGTATGCCAAGGACAGGGATGGGGGAGGAAGAAACAGACAGAGAAGAAAAGAAGGGGGAGGAGGAGACTCGGGAGAGAGAAGACTGAAGAGAGGGATCAGATGGAAAGTGGCAGTGCCTAGCTTTTTTTCTGTTATATACTGTGACAAACCTGTAGTTCTACCCTTTTCTGTGTCTGTTTGTCGGTTACAAACACGATGCAGATGCCAGAGACATTTTTTTGTGTAAGTAAACAAAATGACGGGATTCATTTTAGTATTATTTTAAGAACAGGGGGGGGGCTTTGTTTATTTGTTGGACCTGCTTATTGATACCTGCAATTTACTGAACTTGTGCATAAATTTACATCGGAGAGGGAGTATACAGTCATGTAACCCTACATGTATCGCTTGAAGTGAGCATCAACTTTTATTTCTTTATTAATGTTTTCTTCATGCACTGAGCATTAAAATACTAGCATGTTATAATATAATTTTATATTTTGATTTCTTTTTTCTCAGTTTTTTAATTAATGCTATGAGATATATACTGTAAATCACTTTTTATTCTCGAGGACTTTATTTTCGCGTAATTACGCGGGACAGTGTGCTCGCCAAAATTTAATTCTCGCGTATAATAATATTCCTTAAGAATATATAGAGCAATAACCAAAATTCGCGAAAATTTTGTCTCGCTAATCAAAAGTCAATGACTATCTCGCGAAAATAAGGTGTCGCAAAAAGTTAGTGATCTACAGTATTGAGAATATGTATTAAACTATTAATCTAGCATATATAGATAGTATTAAAGGGCTTTTACCATTAAACTGTACTACAAAACTAGTATAACCTTAATATATGTATTTGTCAATTTTGAGGACATATGGCCAACCAGTGAAGAGCAAATGAGTTGTCATGATGGAGAGCCAATAAGATACAAACCAACGTTAGCCCAGAAATGATGTTTGCGTAATATTGAAAGAATAAGTGGCCCAACAATGGCTCAATAATATCCGTTCGTTGGTCCAGCAATAAGCCAACAAGTTGATCTGATTAAGGGCCGATGAGCAAATTACAGTTGGCCCAACATTAATTGCTTACAATAAGCCAAATGTACAAAAATAACATTGCCAAGAACGTAAAAAATACATTGGCCCGACAGTGGCCCAATATTTACTGTTACATTGGCCCAACAATAAGCCAACACGTTGGTTTGTTTAAGGGCCGATGAGCAAATTACCGTCGGCCCAACATTAACTGCTTACAATGGCCCAATTGTACAAAAATGACGTTTGCCCAATATTGAAATAATACATTGGCCCAACAGTGGCCCAATATTAACTGTTACATTGGCCCAACAATAAACCAACAAGTTGGTTTGATTAAGGGCCGATGAGCAAATTACCGATGGCCCAATGTTGAATACAAACGGTGGCCCAACATAAGGAGCATTGTTGGCCCAACAAAGGTCCAATAACATCCTGCTATCTGGGATTTTACCGTGAGACGATATTTCAATATTCTTTAGAAATAAAGTATAGCTCAGACAAAGCAATAAATCAAAAAACATGATAAAAATTCAATATGGCGATGAATTTATGATTAAAGGGGACAATGAATATCTGGTTTGGCCTTTTTTTAATTATACTGTGTTATTTGAATTCGTCCCGTTTTAGATTCGCCCACATGTGCATAGGTCGAAATAGCGAAAATAAATCGGGGTCGAAAAATTCCCCTGTATACAGTGTGAAACCAAGTGAAAGGTCGTAAGAGACAAATACCTGAACATATTGAGTTACATACGGGAATAACTTTATCTGAGCTATAATATGAGACTAAAAATGTTATTTAGCTTTTTTAAAGCAAG